TGCATCCAAAAACATGAGGGGGGGACCGAAAAAAGTGTTCATTCAGGAAATAAAACCTGCAAGGGAGCCCTATGCTAAAGAACACGACTGGGCGTACGAGTGCACAGAAAGGTAGAAGTCAAAACAGCAAAATGCCAATAAAATCACCCCTATGGCTCTAAGCATACAACGTACCATCCCTATCAGACTCCTATTTTTCCTTTCAGCAACGCCATTTTGCTCATGAGTATATGGACAAGTGAGTTGCTAAAATATACCTTGAGAAGAAAGGTGAGACACTAAGGCATCAGACACATATTCCTTGGCATTATATGAACGAAGAGCACGAACAATAACATCGAATTGTGTCTTAATCATCTGTAGAAACTGAGTGATTATAGGGAGTACATCAAACTTTTTATGCAAAAGGTAAACCCAAGTACAATGAGTACGGTCATCTATAAATGTCACATAGTATCGGACACTTGATAGAGTAGCAACAGGAGCGGGTCCCCAAATATCAGAGTGTATTAGGTCAAATGGCTTGGGTGACTGGTGCATGCGAGGAATATAATTGGTCCTAATATGTTTTGATAGGGAACATATAACACAATCAAATTTACCACCAACACAAGCATTGCTCAAAGCAGGAAACAACATACATAAATATTTAAAATTCGTATGTCCAAAACGGTCATGCCACAATTGAACTGTTTGTGATGAAAAATCATAAAGACAATTACTAGGTAAAATACTAACATGCAAGCTAGAAGCAGATAAAGATAAAGTAGGTGTAGGTGATGTAGGTGGAGGAACTGGTGAAACTGGAGGTGGATCGTCTAGAAAATACAATTCATCTCTCTCATGTCCCCTGATAATAATCCTCCTGGTACTCAGGTCTTGCAAATAACACGAATCAGATAAGAACACAACCGCACAGTAAAAATCTCTGGCTAACTGATGTACAGATAATAGATTCATGGCCAACTTTGGCGCATGAAAAATCGAACGTAATGTAAAGCCTTCAGGGAGGCGGATTGTTCCCCTATTAACAATAGGGGCATGTTCTCATCTGCTAACTAACTTGTGTACGTAACTACTCGTTAAAAGTGGTGAAGTGATGGATCTCACCTGTCATGTGATCATTCGCACCCGAGTCCAACATCTAAAGGGGAGACGGACTAGCAGAAACATGAAAGGTACGAGGTATACCTGTAGTGGTGGCTGTAGCAGTAATCAGACTCTGAGAAGTCAGAGCAGACATAAGTATATCTAATCGAGAAGTGATAACATCCATATCATTCTGCCAAGGAGGAGGAGTTGCAGGAGTAGTTGTAGTAACTAGTGGTACCTCAACAATAGCAACTGTACGACCACGAGGAGGCAGCTTAAGCTCTGGATGGAACTTCCAACAAGCAGCCCTGAGATGTCCCGGTCGGCCACAATAATCACACTGACGAGAATTCCCCTGTCTGCGCTGATTTGGGGCATCCTGACGGCGCTGGTTCGAGCGCTGCCCACCCGTGACTAAGGATCCTGAATGAGACCCTGCAGCTGCTGCAAGGGTCATATGATCAGCTGGAAGAGTCAAGGTCGCAACTGGAAGTAATGCAATACGGATGCAGCGCTTATGCTGCTCAATCATCGCATACACCTCATAAAGAGAAAGAAGCGTCAACATCAATAAGATTTGGGAACGAGGTCCCTCAAACTCATCACAAAGCCCCATAAGGAACTTGTGAATCCTATCCTCCTGCTCTTGAGTATGCAAGAATGCTGCTCTCTCGAGCTCTATCCTCGGAATAGCAGCAAGAGGACGTAGAGTCTCATACTCGAGCCAATGTTGGGTCAAATAACTATAATAATCCTGAATAGTCATATCTCCCTGCCGAGCATATGAGAGCTCCTGAGAAAGCTCATAAACACGAACTTCCCGTCCTGACTGGGAATACATCTCTGATAATGCGCTCCATAATTTCGGAACAGAGCTATGAAACTGATGTATCCTGCAAACAGATGGCTCCATTGAGCCAAATAACCATCAAAGAATGGCACAGTTCTCAGAGAACCACGCAGAATATCCAGGGTTGGCATCATTTGGCTTTGGGTGAGATCCCGTCAGCCAACCAAGCTTCCCTACACGGCCCAAGAAAAGCTGGAATGAACGTGATCACTCAGCAAAGTTACGACCATTCAACAACTGTGTCATAACCTTCTGAGAGATCATTGCCGATAAAGTAACTGTGTCAGTAGATACTGTGTACTGGTCAAACATAAAAGTAGGAGAAACAGGTTGTACATGCCCGGTGAAAGTACTAATAGAAGCCTCAACGGTAGATGTATCAATAGTAAAGGACTCAAGTCCCACAGTAGCACCAGCAGTAGCCATATCCACAATAATACTAGGGCACCCGTAACATAAAAATAACTCTAAGATAAATATAGAGATAAAATAAATGAGACCAATATACCTCCAGTCGAACAGTAGCAACAAATAAGAAGGTCCAGAAAGCTTCTAAATAATCAAGTCACGGTGCCTAGAATTTTCAATAAATATAAATAATCTTACTGCATTAAGAGTAGATCAACAGATAGAGAAGAGAATTTAACCCCTCATAAAAAAAGGGAATCCTAAATACTGCAACCTAGTAGCACTGTGACGAAGAGTGCAAAGGATGAAGCTAAAACGAGAAACACGACCCTGTAGTAGGTTGGGCGTCGTGTGTATTGGTGTGGTATATGTGTTTGTCGGTGTGGTTATTGAGCAGTATGTTTATTGGGGTCAGTCGCTGGTTGGTGATATAGAGGCAGTCGGTGAAAACTGTTTATTGCCTGGGCAGTCGGCAATTTCGGTGTTGCTGGGTGTACTGGAGTGTTTTGGTGTTGTAGCTAGGGGCTGGAAGGCTGTTATGAGGATAAGGATAGGTAGGATAGGCAGTCGGTGGAAGGCTTTGGGGCTGTCGATGTGGCCTGGGCAGTCGGTGTGGCCTGGTATGGGTTTCGTCAGTCAGTGTATTGACTGGTATGAGGATGGGCAGTCGGTGTGGCCTAGTATGGGTTTCGGTAGTTAGTGTATTGACTGGTATGAGGATGGGCAGTCGATTTGCCGGTGAGACAGTCTTGGTGGAGGCTAAGGTTAGGGAGAAGTTTAGGGTTTAGGGTAGGGTTAGTGTATGACTCTGATATCAACTTAAAATATTTAGAATAGAAAAAAAGGGATACAAACTAAGTGTAGAGTCTTGTATATATAGTCAATAAAAGTTACAATAAGAATAAAAAGGTAAAAAGAAAACTTAATAAATCCTAATAAATTAGGCTATTGTTATATCTCCGACTCTTGGCAAAGGAATAGCATTTGTCACTTCATCTTTAAAGAAGAAACCTTTTCTTCTCTAACATAATGACTACAGATCTTATATCTCTTCATTTCAGGATGCTTCTTCTCTCTGTGTTTTACAAACTCTTCGCCTTAGCTCAAGCTCAAAACCAGTTCATTTACAATGGCTTTCGTGAAGCCAATCTTCACCTTGATGGGTTGGCTCAATCCTCCCCGATGGTCTATTGCAGCCAACAAACACTTCCATGCAACAATCCGGCCATGCTTTCTACCCACATCCTGTGAAGTTCAACACGCCCTCCTCTGAGTCACCCGAGTCGTCTCTCTCATTTTCCACCAGTTTTATCTTCACCATTGTTCCCGAATTGTCAGTTCAAAATGGCAATGGTTTTGCTTTCACCATCTCTCCATATATGGACTTCAGTCATGCCACACCAAGCCTCTATCTGGGACTCTTCAATTCTTCTAACAACGGCCTTTCCTCAAACCATGTCTTCGCAGTTGAGTTTGACACTATTGCTAACACTCTATTCCACGATATTAACGGCAATCATGTTGGAATCGACGAAAACAGCTTAACATCAACTGCATCAGCTCCTGTGCCATTTTTCTCCAAAGGGGTAAACACAAGCTTGGAGCTTACGAGTGGAAACCCAATTCAAATTTGGATCGAATATGATGGAGGAAAAAAGATTATAAACGTTGCACTAGCTCCAATCAAAAGCCCAAAACCTAATCAACCCCTCCTGTCAACCTCCATCGATCTTTCTCCAATTTTCTTGGACTCCATGTATGTTGGTTTCTCTGCAGCAACAGGTGCAGCTGACGCAAGCAACCACTATATTGTCGGGTGAAGCTTCAACAAAACTGGGTCAGAAAAGTGTCTAGAACTCTCAAAGCTTCCTTCGGTTCCTCGTCCAATAAAATCAAAGGGATTACCGGTTGTTGAAATGGTAGTCTCAATTGTTTCAGTATCTATTGTGATCATCACTCTATGTGGGACTGCTTACATTCTGAGAAAGAGAAAGTATGAAGAAATATGGGAAGTGGAATATGGACCTCAGAGATTCTCCTATAAGGATCTCTACAAAGCAACCGAATGTTTCAAAGAGAAAGAACTTCTTGGAGCCGGAGGTTTTGGAAAAGTTTATAGAGGAGTACTTCCTTCTTCCAAAGCACAAGTCGCAGTGAAGAGAGTCTCGCATCATTCAACACAAGGGATGAGGGAATTCGTGGCAGAAATTGCTAGCATGGGAAGGCTGAGGCATAGGAACTTGGTGGCCCTCCTCGGCTACTGCCGGAGAAAGGGAGAGCTTCTCTTGGTCTATGATTACATGCCCAATGGAAGTCTCGACAAGTTCTTATATAGCAACCAAAAACCAAGCCTTAATTGGACACAACGCTATCAAATTCTCAGAGGGATAGCTTCTGGCCTTCTATATCTACACGAAGAATGGGAACAAGTTGTTCTTCACAGAGATGTGAAGGCCAGCAATGAACTGGTAGATGCTAATTTTAACGGTCGGCTTGGAGACTTTGGGCTTGCTAGATTGTACGATCATGGCACAAACCCTGAAACAACTCATGTGATTGGACGTTGGAACTGTTGGCTATCTCGCACCAGAGTTGACTAGAACTGGCAAGGCAACTATAAGCACAGAACGTCTTTGTTTTCGGGGTGTTTATGCTCATAGTGGCTCGTGGAAGAAAACCTGTAGAGCCACAGCCTAATAACATGATTTTGGCAGAGTGGGTTATGGAGAGATGGGTACAAGGAGCTATTCTTGAGGCAAGTGATCCGAGATTAGGAGGTGATTTTGAGGTTGAAGAAATGGAGTTAGTTTTGATGTTGGGTCTACTTTGCTCTCATTCTAATCCAGTGGCTAGGCCTAGCATGAGACAAGTGATGCAGTATTTGAATGGCGATGCTACCTTGCCGAAAGTAATGGCGGATGCTATAGGACCTGGCATGTTTTCAGTCGGGAGTAGTGAGTATAATGAATATTTGTCATCATTTGGGTAGGCTTCTGGTTATTCCATGCCTACTACTGACTCTATCCTCTGCTTAGGCAGTTGAATAGGAAAGGTTTATTGTGAAGGACATGGTACATCAAGGTTTAATAATGTTTAATAAAAGATTAATGTTTTTTTTTTGTTGATAGAAATGGTAGAATGCCTATTAAATAGAGAGATCTCAAAGGAGGAATTAAATATTAATGTTATTGGAGCTAATTTAATCGGGACTTATCAATTTTTATTCAATAGTGGGTTTTATTGTGGAATGAGATCTATTATTAATCCAATGATAATAATGAAATTGACACTTAATTTAGGTGTAAGTCAATATGTAACATTGCCACTCTTATCAAATATTTTAATGAATTTTTAAATTCATTATTAAATTTTTTTAACAAATGTGATTAATTAAATAAGTGGGTCTTAATAGAAATAGTTACTCAGACTCACTAATATATCAATCTCGATTGGTTTTGTAAGCAAAATTTTTGAGACTTAATCGAAATATGTCCTACCTCTGACGAAATAGCTATCGCCTGGAAGGGAAGCTAGCCGCGGTACATAGAGTCACTAATGAACCCAGAACAACGAGGTTCCAAAGTCCGTAAGCTGTTTCACTTGAACTTGACTTCGGTGATTTCGAACGTTACCTATGACAACTGAAGACCCATATGAAATGTTTGGGATTGATTTTAAACTTTTAAAATTGATCACAAACACCTTGACAATATGTAATTTGACCTCCAAATAGTGTATTTTGAGGTATAATCTATATAATAAATGAGTTAACATTGTTTGTTTTTAATTTTTTGTGACTAAAATCGCTTTAAGATTATTCATTTGATGATCCTAATTGATCACAAATTTTTTTTCCTCACCCAACTTCTTAAAGAAGACTTCCATTTCTTCTGAAATTGCTTTAATATTATTCATTTGACGATTTTAATTGATCACAAAAAAAAAAAAAAATTCCACCCAACTTATTGAGGAAGACTTTCATTCCTTCCTTGAGCAAGACTTTCATTCATTTTACAAGTCTAAGACTTTCATCTCTCATATAATTCTCTCTCTATCTCATACTCTCATCTCTTAGACATGTATCTTGTCTCTCTTATAACAAATTCTCTTTCTCTCTCTCATACTTCTATCTCTATGATGTTTATATCTCATATAACTCTCTCTTATACTCCCATCTTTAATACGTTTTAAAATTTAAATACACAGTCTCCCACTCTCTCTCTCTCTCTCCCTCTCTCATATACCTATCTAATGTAGCTCATTCACCCCCAATTACACAAAAAAAAAAACTCTAACCTCTCTTCTCCCTCCCTTTCTGTCTCTACCTATACCCCTGACACACATATGTCGACACTAGTCGCCGCTAGAGTCAACAATTAGCCTTTCACTCTCCCTTTGCCTCAATCACGGTATCTCTCTCTCTCAATGCGTTTTGTGTGTGTATTTTTCTATGTTTTGTGTGTGTGTGTTTGTATGTTTTGCCACTCTCTCTCACTGTGCATTTCTAGGTTTCTCTGTGTGTGCGCGTGTGTGCATTGAGTGTGTGTGCATATGTGCGCGAGCACGCACGACTTGTGTGTGTGTGTGTTGATTCCCCCAATTAATTTGTTGGTTGTTCATGTTGTCATACATATTGTCAAAGGCTATTCATCAAATTTTGTATGTTGTTCTTAGGAGGCTATGTGTTGGTTTGTTGATTTGACTCTTTGTTTTTATATTTTGGTCTACAATTTTATCGCGATTTTCTTGGTTAATACAGTGATTTTTGATGTTGTAGAAAAGTGGTAACTAATCTAATTATGGTGTCCATTTTCTCTTTGATAGTTTGGTGTTTAGTGCAAAAAAATAATTTAATCATAGTAACTAATTTGTTTTTTTAGTATTTGAATATTTATTTTTTGGATCATATAGTGACGATTTTTTCAATTCATTACTAATGAATTGGAGTGACCCATTTCATTTTAGCATTTAGTGAAAGCTTTTCTTTTCTTTTTTGCATATATGGTTTCATTTAGTGAGTGAATATATTTTTGGTTATGTAACTTTAATTTTTGGATTGATGCTGACGGTATTAAATTTAGTTTTTTAATACAAAAAGAATGAGACACAATGACTTGAGTTTGGAGAGTATTGGGTGTTTAGATAATGAGTCAATAAGTCTCGCGTATTCGAATTTTTTAAGGTGTCAAATAAAATATTTTCGGTATTCCATTCTCATATATCTCACAAAATTCTATGACTAAATTTTATAGAGTAAAAATTTAGGATGTTACATGATATAATCAACAAAATTTACTAATTTTTTTGTTGAAAACATAAATATATGTATATTCAAAAAAAATAAAAATATGTTTTTTTAGATTCAATCTCAATCATAAATATAATTTTTTTTCCTAGGGCCTCAAATGTTTTTGGGCCAGCCACGGTTAGGACCCATCTAAAATCTAATTTTTAGATTGGATCTCAAATTTTTGAACCTCATGCAGCCATAATTTTGGCTTTATAACTTAAAAAAAAAAAAAAACCGTTAACTTATTAGATTGTTTCTTACCCAATAATTTGTCCCATAATTTTGGCTAATAACCTTATGAATTGAACCCATAGTTTTAATTTTGACCAAAAAAAATTACAATTTTAATATTATTGTAGGAAATTCAACGATAATTAGGCGGCCAGGGCTATTCCCACTCCATAGACCTCCGTTTCCACCCCATAAAGTTCTAAATTATAAAATTACTAAATTCACTCCATTTATATTTACCACACTAGTAATTAAACTCACTTTATACTCACCCCATTAATAGTAAAATTTATCTCAATCTTCACCCTAGGCTTTATGGTTTCTTTCTATACCCATCTCACATAGTCTATACACAAAAGGCCGATCCAAACTCTAGGCAACTAAGGCGTTTGTCTGTGGCCCCAAAATTTATAAAGCCCCAAAAATATTTACTCATTTAGTATTATAGGTCTATATATATATATATATATAATTCAAAATTTTAAGGCCTAAATTTTAAAAGTTTAAATCAATATTTAATTTTAGTAGGTTCAAAATTAATGTCTACTCTGTTAACTCATCTTTTGGAGTGCCTCCATAAAATTTATCCCTCGAGTAGAATATGCCTATTTTTTTGGAAAAATTGTAAAGAGGTACACAAAATTAGAATTATTGATCAAAAAGTACATAACTCTTAATGTTAGGTCATTTAGTCCTTATTTTTAGAACTTAATTGTATTTAAGTACATAGTATGACTTTTTATGATTTTTCTTTGGCATATTTGCCCTCCTTGAAATCATGCATATCTCTTTTTGGTAGTTAAGTTGATTTTTAATTTAGTTTTATTGTATTAAAAATTTCCTAATATAATGGAAGAATTATATTATCACAAAATTTGCATATCTTCGCCATTTTGAATTTTAAATTTGTTTGTCATTATCCTTGCCATTAAACATATCTCTCTTGCTATATATATATATATAAACACACACACACACACACACATAATATTACTAAGTCACACTATGAAGCTTCGTTTCTATTACTCCTACACTGTTTTGATACACTTTAACTTTAAGTAATTCTTAAACCCTGATTTATGTTACTCGTACATTGTTTTGATACACTATATTGATATACTTTAATTTCATAATTCTTTTAAACTGTATCAATACAGTGTATCAAAACAATGTAAGAGTAATAAAAACTAGACTTTATAGTGTGACTTCATATGATTATATGTCTATATGTGTGTGTGTGACCAAAATTCTTTAATTTTACTATTTTCTAAGATAAAATAATTAAAATTTCTTAATTTTATTTATCAAATTTCAAAAGTTTCAAAAATTTTGAAACATATCCCTAAAAATTGGAGAGAATTTATTATAGTTTTTAATTTTTCAAAATTTTAGATTTTTGTTTTATTAGATATCCTCTCTCTCTCTCTCTCTCTCTATATATATATATATATATATATATATATATATATATAAAATAAAATTTGGGATTAGTTTTCAAAATAGTTTTTAGGAAACTTATTTATAATAAAAGGGTATTCAAGTCTTTCTATATCTTAAGTATACTTTTTTACAAAACATTTTTTTCTATGTACTTTTTGACAATTAAGTCTAATTTTGTGTACTGACTTACAATTTTTTTTTATTTTAAATATAATTCAAATTTTTAGGACTCAAATTTAATAGTTCAATTCAATATTAATTTTATTAAATCTAAAATTACTGACTTTTTGTGAACTTTTATTTAAGTTTTTCTAACTTTTTTTGATTGTGTTTATAGTTGCATTCCTCACTCACATAAAAAATTTATATACATTATTTCTTATGGTGAAAATTTATAAAATTAGTTAATTTTTTATCTTAATATTAATTTTCAGTCCAAATAATTTATGCTTACATTTTTTGTGTTATCAAAGTTTTGTACTTTATGCGTACATATAACTCATGAATAATGTAAGATCCCGTATTTCATATAAATATAAATAATATTAACTTGATAGTATGTAGATATTTGAAAAGTAAGGATAAATTTTTCAGTTTTTCCGGTACGACACTATTCATGCATCATTTGCTGGTAGGGCACTACATATGCATCATTTATGTATAATTTATGTTTAGGAGTATAATATGAGTATGCGATAGAAGAGAAACATGCTTAGATTATTAAAATACACATACTGTGCAAATTGAGCCTAAACGAAAATAGTTTCAAAAATTAGACAAAAAATGTATCCCGGGCGGCCTAGGTGGGACCGGCTAAACCCGACCACTAGCGAAAATATATATTTTTAAAAATTTTCATTTAAAATAATTTTTAAAATTTTGGTTAAAACAAAATGTCGAATTGAGGCGTTTCAGGACGAGTTGTAGTGTAACGGGGTCCCGGATTCATCAAGGGCAAAAGGGTCTTTTTTGCATCTTTGCCCTCCACTATCAATACAGCCTTTTTAGTGTAAAAATATCAGTATTTTTGGGCTAAGAAGGGTCAGTACACGTTTTTGGAGGAAAAGGAAAGAAAAATCCTATGTTCTTCGAGTTTCAAGCC